AGTACATTTATATTTTAAGAAATAAAGGTTAGCCAGGCGGTGGGGGTGCTTTAATCTCAGCACTCAAAGAAACAGAGGCAGGCAGATCTCTGTGAGTTCTAGGCCATCCTGGTCTACAGAGTGAGTTCCAGGACAGCCAGTGATACACAGAGAAACCCTGTCTCAAAAAACCAGGAAAAAAAGAAGTTACTGTTATATTTAGGTTTTAAACATATATGCTTCTTTTATTATTTGTTTAATATTTCCATTTTCCTTCTTTGCTGACTTTTAAAAAATATATAAATAGACTTAAATTTAAAATTTAGTTTTTAATACCAATTTTTAAAGATATTTTATAATTCCATCATTTCTTCTTTCCTTTTCTCCCTTTAAGTCCTCCCACATAACCCACATTTTCTTCTTTGTTTTTTTTTTTACATTGACATTTTTATTAACGCCAACAGTTTTTTAATGATTATTTTTTAAAATAATAGCACAAAAATGTTCCAAGGAAGCAGTCTCACAATCTGACGACCTTCTGAAATACATTAAGCCACACCAAATATGAATTTCTGTTAACACACACACAAAAAAAGGAAGATTCAGAAAAAATAAAGAAAGAAAAAGGGAAAGAGGAAGAAGGCTGAGACGTAGTAAAAACACGTTGGGTTAGGTGGCGAGGCTCGTTAGTGGGCACACTGGTGAAGCAGCGGTGAGCGGACGTCTGGGCCACACAGCAGTCCCCACTGGCTCCTCATATGCACAGGCTGGCGAGCAAGAGCTCACTGATACTGTTTGGAAGAGGTGTGGCATTTGGCCTGTCAGGTAACTGGGACCGTTTTGAACCTGGGGATTCTTTCATTTTTCTTCTTTGTATTGACTATTTTTGTTTCCCCTTTTAAAACAGGGCTTCACTATCTTAACCAGATTGTTATTGAACTCAAAATCCTCCTGCCTCAGCCTCCTGCATAGGGATTACAGCTATGCAGCACTGTGACAGGCAGAAAAACCTATATTCTGGATCTTATTTATGAGATCAGGAAGAGGTAGGCACTTTTTAAAAATCCTTCCTCAGCCCTTCTCCTCCTCAGAACTGTATTTCTCAGTCCTTTACTTGTATATTCTGGGTACACTTCTTTAATAAACTGCTTGTGTTTGAATCTTTGACTCAGCATTTACATACGTGAAAACTAGTTTACAACAGGATCTATCCATGCAATTTATTAGCTCCTTGTACCGTTAGTCCAAAACTCTTCGGTTTAGCCTCAGGCAGATTTTTAGGAAAAGGAGCAAAAACCAGCCACATGTTTTGCCAAAATATTGTAAGAATGATTTCTAGATAAGTTGTTAATATCATTCCTCTCTGCAAGTTCTTGAGCCGGATCTAATTCACATTTTTCTCAGCACTATTGTCTTGCAAACTCTTAGTAGCATGGCCCCACTAAGACTTGCTTATAGTGTTTTAACTGCTTCCCTAGTACAAAGTCCCTAAGTCTTCCATATTCATCCAGTGAACAGTGTATGGTCAAACCTCAGCAATAGTTTGAATTAATGGCATTGACAGAAGAGAAATCAAGATAGCCTAGTTAGTATTGACTATGTTATGTAGTTGTCAGTAGTCACTCTTATGCAGATCTACAATGAAAAGAAGCAAGTTGGACAAAGAAACACAAAATGTACCGTTTGAGGAGAAAAGAGACACCAGGAAGTGTAACGGAGCTAAGTCCAGTGCTCAAGGAGAGAAACAGGTTTTTTTTTTTTTTAAGCCTGTTGCTAAATGAAATAAAGGGAGTAGTGACTTCAGGGCAGGACCTCACTTAGCTAAGCTTCTAACTCATGAAAATGAATCAAAGAAACACATAAGCAGTGAAGAAAGCCATCAACAACAGAAAACTTATACAAATATAACTGAATAATTGTACCAAGTTCTAGACCCTGGATGCATCAGAATGTGGCAATTTTGGCTATGTGGTTCTGTCAAGGATAGAAGAAAAGGGTTATGGAATCTCCTTCTACTACTAAGGAAAGCATCTGAGGCCAGGAGTATATCAGGGGTGACCCTGTATGGTGGCCTAGAGAGGTCATTATGCAAAGCTGTGCAGGAGAAGCCTGATTTGTGTTAGAGATGCCAGAGCCATGGGATACCTGCCAAGGAAAACTGCTAACAGGGAGTGCAAGCAGCCCAAAAGAACTATGTTGCAGTCAACAACGCTGAAGGAGGGGGAGATCTGATGAGCGTTTTGACATCAGACACGGAGATGCAGAGTTTAGAGTTTGCCCAGCTGGTTTTCAGTCTTGCTTTGGTCCAATGTTTCCTCACTATGCTTCCTTTTCTTTATTTTGGAATAGTAATGTATATGCTGTGCCATTATATGTTGGATGTATGTTGTCTGCTTTTTTATTTTGATTTTACATGGGGTTACAGTTAAGAGATGGCATGAAACCTAGAAGAGACTTTGGACTTTGCAACATTGTTGAGATTGTGACAGACTATGGGAACTTAAGGAGTTGGACCAAAAACATTTTGCATTATGATATGGCTCCAAGTCCCTGGGGGCCAAGGAGTGGAATGTGACTTCACAGCAATAGGACAGTGACTAAGACAAGGAGTATGAGTCATTTGGCTCCTTCTAGTCCCAAGCTACTGTTAGCTTTACTTCTTAAAGAAAGAAACAGAATCATAGAGAATAACTTATGTCCCCAAATTTATGATGCTAAGTAATGAAACCTAAGTTAATATTCAAGTATTAAGATTGGGGGAGGAGCTCAACAAAGGAACACCTACTTGTTCAACATATGTGGGATCTTGAGTTTCATGTATACCATCACCAAAAGTCAGACTGAAACAAAAGCCAAGAAAACCCAAACAAACAATCTTCCTTCTGAGCAATATACAGATAAGAAGGCGGGCTCTATTACTTGAGTTGTAAGAGAGAAGAGGAAAATTAAATTGAAGGGAAAACAATGAAAAACTGATAGCAGGCAATAGTTATAATCTGGGACCTGATAATACCTATCAGATATGTAGTAAGGTCATAGTTATCAAACTGGTTGTTCTGACCACTCATGTGGTCAGAAAAAAAGAGGTATACAGTAGAGAGAGATTAAAAAATGAAGAAAACCTCAACAGTTTATAGTGTGTTAAAAATATATGTAGACTTGGGAGAGAAAAGAAAAAGAAAAAAAAGGATAAAGTCCTTAAAATAAAAAAAAAAGAAAGAGAGTGGTTGGGTGTGGTGGCACATACCTTTAATCCCAACACTAGGAAGAAAGAGGCAGGCAGAGCTCTGTGAATTCAAAATGTGGTAGTGTACACCTTTAATCCTGTAGGGATAGCCCAGCCCATTGGGGGGGCATGTTCACCTCGGGCTAATGTTTACATATAAATCTGGCGGGCATGAGCCCTGCCACTCTCTTTTTTGTATCTCCTGCTCATTGCTCGATCCCTGGTGTTGTAAGCTATCCCTTCATTAAAATTTGCTGTTTCATATTAAGCTAGCCGGGTTTACGCTGCTTACAGTTTGGCGTCCAACGTGGGGACCGAACCCATGACCCTGGGATTAAGAGTCCCATGCTCTACCATATGTAATGACATTGTTTACAGTTGAAGATCATTGTCTTCATATATTGCACAGTTGTTTATTCTCTTAGTCTTCAAGTTAGATAGGTATTGAGAATTAATCAGGTCTTTTAGATACAGAGATTATATTTAGTATAGATAGTATAATCTTCAGCCTCTTCGAAGAGCTGTAGAAAATGGCCTTTAATTTAACTTAGAATTCTGTGCCAATGAGACATAATCACTCCTGGCAACACCATTCTACTCCTGAGAGAACATTGAGCACCAAAGACACTCCACTGGGAGCTTGTCTTCTTGGCAAAACTGGCCTTTGGGTTAAGAAAAGCACATACCTCAACTACTGACAAAGATACAGAATATCCATAAGTGGATGAAACAGGATTGTCTTATCTTGCCAAGACAGGGTAGGATAGTTCTAAGAAAGTTCCTTGCCTTTAATAATGGTATGTCAGTTATGTTAGGCCTTAGCCAAAGTTGGTTGACTCAACATTGCAAACGAGACTTTGGGTGATTGCCCAGGTAGTCAGTGGTCTCTGTCATTTGTTACACATTTTGGATATCTCTCGTTTGTTAAGTAATATTAATTCCCTTCTCAGATCTTTGACGAAGTTGAAGATTATATAATTGTAGTTACTCTCTACATTATTTAGACTCCTTGAGATAGAATGTTTAGCAAAACTTTTGTTATATGTTTCTTGCTCAATATTGTTTGTTATATTTATTATTTGTTACTATTGTATATAGTTGTATTTGGTTTAGTTCTGTCTTATTTAGACAAAAGGGGGAGATGTAGGGATAGCCCAGCCCATTGGGGGGGCGTGTTTGCCTTGCCACTCTCTTTTTTGTATCTCCTGCTCATCGCTGGATCCCTGGTGTTGTAAGTTATCCCTTAATTAAAATTTGCTGTTTCATATTAAGCTAGCCTGGTTACTTACACCCCTTACATAATCCCAGCACTTGGGGGGCAGAGGCAGGCAAGTTAAAAGTAAAAATAAAAGAAATAGAGGTTAAAATAAAGCCACGTAAAGATGGAAAACACAGAGTCTGAATACTGTATGTTATTATGTTCTCTTTGAATTGTTTGAATGCTGAGGAAGGAGCAACAGCTGCTAAAAGATATTTGTTTATAAATACTGGTGGATTAATCCAAGATAGGAATTTTGAAAATACGTTGACTTCAAAATTGAAGTCAAAAGGTATGTTACTTTGGAGAAGAGGTTTTGCTTTTGTTTTCACAGGAAATGTGAGGTTATAGATTCATTCTGGGTTAAGAAAGATCAGGTTTGATCAAGGAAGACCTTCTGAGAAATCTCCAATAGGAGTGGACAACCCAGATGTCTAACTTCTACATCCAGAGCAGATTCAAGACTGCTGCTTGAGATGAGTAAGCCTCACAGAATTTTCCAGTAAGGACTTGACCATAATTCTATATTTTCTTTAGGTTGTTGTAAGATTATCAGTGTCCCCAATCAACAGGATATAATCTGGAAAACTACACCCACCAGGTAGGACAGAAACCTCAGTCAACAGGAGCCTGTACTGTAACTAGCTCTTGTAGACCAGGCTGGCCTCGAACTCACAGAGATCCACCTGCCTCTACCTCCCAAGTGCTGGGATTAAAGGCATGTGCCACCACCACTCGGCTCACTTATTCTTTCTTTTTTTATTTATTATGTATACAATATTCTGCCTGTGTGTGTGTGGGGGGGCAGAAGAGGGCACCAAACCTCATTACAGATGGTTGTGAGCCACCATGTGGTTGCTGGGAATCGAACTCATGACCTTTGGAAGAGCAGGCAATGCTCTCAACCACTGAGCCATCTCTCCAGCCCTCACTTATTCTTTCTTTTGTTTGCTTTTATGTGCATATTCTTTGCTTCTGTCTCCTAAACTCTCATATATTATCAAGACTGCTTGATATTAAAATTACCTGAAATCTACCTACCACTCCACACATGAGATTGTCAACAAAGTAAGCCTCCAATCCTAGCCTTTTTCACAGCTTGCAGTCCCTCATTCCCTTGTTTGCACCCATGAATTGTTGAGATCACCAGGGAACAATACTCTCATCTGCTGAGATAACAGCCAGATGTTGATGGCAAAGAGAAAGCAAGATAACAAGGATACAAAAGATAAGATAGCTTTGCAGTCTTAAAGGGCCCAAAGCCAATTAGCTCTGAGCAATTCCTAAGGGAGTCATCATTTTATATAAAAATAGTTCTGCTGGCTCCATGAAAGAGGAAAACCAAAGCCCCAAAGGACATCCCTGCACTCAGGTCATATTGCACTTATGACATACTGGGTAATATGCATATCGCACACACCTTAGAGTTTGGCAGGAAGCATCACCATGATATGTGGCAAGGTAAACTGTAATGTAGCAGAAGGGGACAGTTTGCCCTCCAGATGACACTGGTGTGTGTGTGTGTGTGTGTGTGTGTGTGTGTGTGTGTATGAGAGAGAGAGAGAGAGAGAGAGAGAGAGAGAGAGAGAGAGAGAGAGGTATATACGAATTGAGCCTAGAGACGTTGTTCAGCATCCTACATTGCAAAGGACCCATCTTCAAAACACTCATAAATAATGATCACACCTAAAATGTAGATGAAGCTCAAAGTTGGGGAGAATATCTCTACAACAGATTATATAGAGAAGAATACATTAAAAAAACAGTGTTTCTTGTCAAATACAAACTACACAGTAATAATGATATTTTTAAAATAGATTTCTTTCTTTCTTTCTTTAGTGTTTTGCCAGCATGTCTGTCTGTATGAAGTGTCAGATTCCTGGAACTAGAGTTATAGACAGTTGTGAGCTGCCATGTGGGTGCTGGGAATTGAACCCAGAAGAGCAGCCAGTGTTCTTAACCATTGAACCATCTCTTTCAATAGTAATGATTTAGAAATTTTTTCAGAGAGAAGACTGGTACATGAAAATTTACCACATAATTTTGTTTTACTTGGTATACATTTAGTTTTTTCATAACAATGAAATATGAAGATATGTAAGGGTAATCACTCTTGTACTCCTTTTGAAAGAGCATAATGTTTTTAAATGAGCCCAAGTTATTGAAGATGCTGAATAGTATTCCATTTAGTAGCTTTAGAACTTTAGGTTCAGACATTAAGAAATTAGTTACAAGCCGGGCCGTGGTGGCGCACGCCTTTAATCCCAGCACTCGGGAGGCAGAGGCAGGCGGATCTCTGTGAGTTCGAGACCAGCCTGGTCTACAGAGCTAGTGCCAGGACAGCCTCCAAAGCCACAGAGAAACCCTGTCTCGAAAAACCAA